ATGAGTCATATTATTTTCACATATATTTTATCATATATCTCATGATCACATGACCTATTATCATACATACATACATACATTTACATAGTTCACACATAAAGATACATTCAACAATTAGACATAAGCATTTACTCATATACCATACATCTAACACCATATCACTACATGTTTATGCATTAGTACTTATATCATATAATATCGGAATTAGACTCATCGCAAGTCTTAATTCCTTAACATAACGTACACATACTATCATGTACTCGCCTGGTCTCAATGAACACTCTTAAGCTCTTATTTTCATTGTGTATCTTACTCTGCAGACCTATCCGAACTTTGCTTTCGATCGATGTCTACACAATCATATATTTATACTATCAGTATTCCATTGATATACTATAATCTATAATTTCTTAGACTGAAAGAAAGATTTATTTCATTTCCTATTGAAGTGCATCGGTACATTATACCATGCATTGATGCATCCCTTAACAGGTGCATCGATGCACTACCCATGCATCAGTACACCAATCACCTTCGATGTTTTCATTTTTAAAGGGGTGCATCGATGCACTCCTTATGCATCGATGCACTAATGACATTCGATGTTTATTTATTTGAGAGTGCATCGGTACACGTTGAATGTGCATCGATGCACACAGCCCAGAAATTACATCTTGAGCACGAAAATGTCTTGTTTTGACCCCAAATTATACTTATTAATCTCTCCTTGTACCTTAAAACTTATCTATACATATATAAACCATCTTATAACACTTTACCATCTCCCATAATCCACCATAATTCTTGAATCAAAGAATTTCATTAAATTTTCCATGTGTTCTAAATTCAATTTTATCACCTCTAACTTCTTAATTAACCCTTTGACAAGTCAAATTCATTCTTGGAACTTCAAAAACCTTTTAATAACAAAAGTTCATTTCTTAACTCTTAATAGAAAGTCATTTCTATATCTTTCCTCTTGGTTTTTTAAGCTTATATAAGCTTTCCTTAAGCTTATATAACACTCAAAGAATAAAACACAACTCAAATATTCAAGAATTAACCATTAAAATTAAAACTCACCTTTGAGGCTTAAGCATGAACACATGGGAAGAAGAAAGAAAGAAGAAAAAGAAGAGTTTCAAATAACTCTCCAAACCCACGTGTTTCATTCTTATAAAAGGAAGAAAATATCTTTTAAGCTAACATTACCATAATGCCCTTAAAATCCTTTCATATTTACCCTTTCATCCAATAATGAAATATCCCTATTAAAATTCTAGAACTTTCAATTTTTCCTAAATTGATTCTCAAATTTTAAAAATTCTCATTTTTGTCACTAACGATGATTTCAGGATGTTACATAGGAAGATTAAGAGCTTGAAGAATGTCTGAAATAAATCCCCAATGAATGGAGTCAAAAGCTTTATGAAGGTCGATTTTTAGTGAACATCTCGGGGAAATGGATCTCCTTCCATAACCTTTAACCATCTCCTGTGCAAGGAGAGTATTATCAATAATGCTTCTTCCTCTAATGAATGTTGTTTGATTCAAAGAGATTATCTCAAAAAGGAAGTCAATTAATCTTCTCACAATAATTTTAGTGATGATCTTGTAAATCACATAACAACATGAGATATGCCGGAAGTCTTTAACTGCACTTGGATTGGGAATTTTTGGAACAAGAGCAATAATATTAGAGTTAAAAGCAGGATGTATAGTTACTTTATGAAAGAAAAATTTAACTGTTGCGATAACATCCTCACCCACTATAGACCAAGTATTCTTGAAAAAATAAGAAGTGAAATCATCGGGTCCAGACGCTTTATCATTGCCTTGGCAGAGAATAACTTTATGAATTTCATCTCTAGTGACTTCTTTGACAAGGCTTGTTGAAGCTTCAGGAGGCAGTGAGAAATTAAGGAGGTCTTTAAGAATATTTGAATCGATTGTTTTACCATTTTGCCAGCAGTTCCAATCAGATTTGAAAAGAAAGAAATCACTTCTTTCGCCATTGCATCAAAGGACTCCAATCTATTTCCTTGATCGTCAACAAGAACCCGGATTGTGTCTCTCTTGTTTTTGAAAGCTGTCGTTTGGAGTTCTTATCTCTATCTTTAATCCACTGAATTTTTGCTTTTTGCTTAAGGAGCATAGCTTCTACATCTTCCAGATTATTCAACTCTTCTTGTAAAAGAAGCTCCTTCTCAATAGCTTCCTCTCCCCTTAAAGTGAGAAGTTATTGGTGGTCCAGCTCCCTTCTCTTAATTTTCACTCGATCCGAGAGGTTACTGTAATTTTCCTTGTTGAATCTCCTGAGGCAAATTTTGAGTATTTTGAGTTTGGTAAGAAGAATTTGCATAGGGTTGCCTTGAGCAGGTTGTAGCCAAGATTGACTAACTTCATTCCAGAAACAAAGATGGGCAGTCCAAAAATTAAATAATTTAAAAGGCTTAGGCCTATTAGCAGGAATTTCTTTAGAGAGCCAAGTTAATGACATACAATGGTCTGAGATTCCTGGGGCAAGGAATTCAACAAAAGATTGCTGAAAAATAGCAGCCCAACTTGAATTAATCATAACCCTGTCCAGCTTCCTTGCAAGAAAAGAAGATTGTTGCTTATTACTCCAAGTATAAGATGGTTCAAAGTAAGGATGGTATTGGAGTTCAAGCTCATAAGGTAAATCTTGAAACTCTTTCATATCAGAAGTGAGGTAGTGACCAAAGACTTCATGGTCAGAACTTTTGTGGGAATGCATGATAATATTAAAATCCCCTCCTAAGACCCAATGAGCCTTATTAACAGTAGAATCAACTTCTTTTAAATTATGCCAAAGTTGTCTTTAGAGAAATCCCATCATTACTACCATAAATAGCTGAGATGAACAATGGAAGACCAAGGTAAGTTCCTCTAACAGTAATGCTTTGATCAGAAATATGCATGATGGAAAGGTCAATACCCTTCTTCCAAATAACCCAAATCCTACCGTTGGGAGCATAATCGTAATTAGAACAAATATTCCAATTCTGAAATTTTAATTTGAAAACAACCTCTGCTTTGTCAACCTTAACTCTAGTCTCTAAAAGACAATGAACATCAACATTGTTTTGAAAGGCTCTAAGAAGCACTTTATTATGTTTTAGAGGACTGTTAAGTCCTCTAATGTTCCAAAAGCTAACTATCATTGGGAACGTGATCTCATGGAACCCCCTTGAACACCAACAATAAGACCTTTAGCTCTATCAAGATGTTCTTTCTTTTTAGATTTGAGTTCTTTCAACAATCCTGCAACTCCCAATGATGCAACCCTAGGTTTTCTTGGTTGAATTTCTAAGTTATTTAGACTCTCCTCTGCTGAGTTTAGTAATTCAAATCTGTTGCTATAACCTGAAAAAGGTGCTTTAGCATTATCTTTTGTATTTCTACCTCTTCCCCTTTTAAGGATAGTTGGTAGAACAGTTTTTCCCAATCCAGTTGCTTCAACAGGCTTTAAGAAATTAATTTCATTTTCAGCAACAACAATCTGTTGAGAAACGTCAGATGCAACAACATCTTTTTGCTTATTCTCAGCAGCAATAATAAAGTCAGTAGTCTCTATTCTGGCAGAATCATTAACTTCAACCACAACCTCCTTGCTCATCACAATAACTTCACTTTCAACAGTAATAGATTCATGAGCAACATCAATTGAAACCATAGCTATTTGATCATTAGAAGCAGTAATTGGAGGGACATGAATATCTAATTTTTCAGGTTCTTGTAAAACTTCTATTCCTCCAACATGAATGGAAACAGTATTAGGCAAGATTTCTCCCTTCTTTTTCCAGATTTGTGGTACAGTAGGATTTGGGTTAGCGTTGTGCAAACAATATTTTTCAGTGTGCCCAAATACATTACATCTTCTACATGATTGAGGAAGCCAAGGAACTTCTACATAGATCGATGTTGTTTGGCCATTTTTAAGGACAACATTAATGCGTTTAGGAATTATATCTTTAACTCCTATTTATATGCAAACTTTTGCAAACTCCAACCTGGTTTTTGATGCTGTAATAGTGTCCATGGAGATTGGAACTCCAATGGCACTTGCTATGTAGCTCAAGCCTTCTCTAGAGAATAATTCGAGGGGATGTTGTAGAGTTGAAACCAAACTGGGATTTTAGACAAATTGAAGCTAAGCCTTTTCAGATTAGGTTCCCACTTCCTAAAGATTAGTGGCTTATTTTGCATATGTCAAGGACCATTTTCAATTACCCATTCTCTAGCATTTTCAGAAGTAAACGAGAAAATGAAGATATTGTTTCCAGCTGAACTGGCCTGTAATCGAGAGCCTTGCAGCGCTTTGCTCCATAGTTTGTCGACTGTCCGTTAAAGAGAAGAGAAATTTGGAGTAACCCCCAGGAACTGACCCACTAAGGAAAGTTTCCATTCGGAAATTCCATCCTCAAGAATCTCTGAAGGAGAGGAGACAATCGGGTTTCCATCGTGGAATTTGGGGGGGAAATCTAGGTTTTGATCTTCAGAGAAACCGAACAAATTACACCAGTCCAGCTATTGAACAATGGAACTTAACGGACGAAAAGAGAAATAGTTGAGGTGATCTTGAAGGCTGAACGAAAATAAACGTCGACGAATCATCGGAGAAATAAGGCTTCGTTAGACCTGCTAACGTGCGCCTCAGTCTCTCTTCCTTTCTCTCTGCTACACAATCAAATTTTGAGCTTGAATTTTGTTTACACTAAATACCTTCTAAACTCAATTTTTTTGAAGAACAACATTTGTCCTAATCGGTACTCATTAGTTAGTGCAAAATTGTCATTTCTATTCCGTCTATTCCAATTTGAATTCAGCTTGACCGATAACTTGACTTGTTCAAGTTTAAATTCAAGTTTTTTCCGAGTTTACAACAAGAATTAGTTGAGAACTTGTTCAGAAAAACTAAATAATAAAATTTCTCCATGCGGTTACATAGTTGTCAACAGCATTCATTAATACTCGTTTTGTTTTGAACTTTCATTGCCATGATATGTATCACTCTACAACTTGCTTATTTTTGGAAGAGGGAAAATAGGCCTCCAACTTCCGATTGAAGCATCTAAAGCTTAATTAAACTATGCGTCCTAATTCTCGGGTGCACAAGGCCTTTAATTTAAAAGAAAAAAAAGAAGAAAAATCATGTTCTTCCTGGTACATCAAAAAATCTATTAAGCTTTACACATTATTCCACATCTGCAATTCCTCATTGGTGGAGTCTGGTTTGCATGTATGAAGCTTGTAGTGGCAGGCTTCAACAGCTTCTCCTACTGTCAAATATACCCATTCTTCACCTATCGTTTCTATGAACTTTGATTTGTTCAGTTTCTCCATCACCTCCGCTCCAGGGTTAGCCATTACAAGCTTGATCCCCCTTCTGTCAGTAGTTTTCTTCACTTCTTCAAGCATGCTTATTCCACTGGTATCAATGTTGCCAACAGCTGTGAAACCAAAAAAATTTAAACCCCTGTGAGATTCCCTATAGCTTTTTTGTTCATTAATGTTGCAGATAATATGGCTGCAGTTCGAGCCGGATCATAAATCACTCACCACTCATGTAAAGTATAACATACTGTAAGTTTGTTTCCCCAGCAGATTTCAGCCTGTCTTCCTCATCATCAATCCACCTTGAGATCCTGATAAGATCAACAATCCATTTTGATCAAATTATGATGTCTGATAATATTCAAGCAATCAAATTCTCAAGTACCTTTCTCTTAAGTAGCTTGCGTTAGCAAAGTAAATTGGAGCATCAATCTCGAGTATAAGAATCCCAGGAACACTGTTTGTAGTCGGATATTGCTCGACGTTTCTGTAGATGGTGGAATTCGGGATGTTTCCGAGAAGAAAGGTCCTCGGTCTCGAGATAAACAGAAGCAATCTCAGCACAGATATTGCAACCTTCATTTCATTACACAACGAATTATCAGATGAAGGAACCAAGTTTATGTTCTGTTGTGTTTTTTTGCTGATATATCATATGTGTATTATCGTACCGCTATGACTAAGCCGATCTCCACGCTTGCGAAAACGACACCGAGGAACGCGCCGGTACACACCACGAAATCGAATTTATCGACCTTCCAAAGATGAATTGCAGCCTCGTAATCGATAAGACCAAGCATTGCAGCCATGATAATGGCGGACAACACTACCAGGGGAGTGTAATGGAACAGTGGTGTTAGGAACAGCAACGTGAACATAACTGCAATCGCCATGATAACGTTCGACATCGCCGTTTTACACCCTGCATTGAAGTTCACAGCCGACCGAGAAAATGGCCCTGAAAATACATCAACACCACAACGATTAGCAAATCATGTAAAAGTAACCCATCTAGTTAGGCTTTAAGAATACAGCACCAAGATTCCACCTGTCGTGAGATAGCAGGAAAAGCAAGAACCAACAATGTTCATGGTCCCAATAGCTACCATTTCTTTGTTCCCATCGATGTGGTAGTGTTTGTACATTGCGAAACTTCTTCCCACTGCTATTCCTTCCTGGTATTTCACAGGAAGCAACAAACACAATCAGTCTTATGTCTTTTCCTTGAACTAATGAAATCGATGCATGGCATTCAAAAGGTAGCTTACGGCCAGAGCAATGATGCCGGCAACGACGCCGGTCTTCACAGCTGTTGACAAATACGAAGAAGTAAATACAAAATCCCCAAACGACGGTGGATTCAACCCTTTCTTCAAGCTTCCTATCTGTCATTGTCACATCAATAACGTTGCAACAAAGTCAAGCTCTTGGTCCTTTTCACGAAATAGTATGATAACAAATATATTAATTTTCTATTAATTACATTTTATAGTTTCTTTTAAAACAAGAAATGTGAAAATTAATAGTCCAATCAGTGAGGTTGGTGGGAGCTCAGGTTAAGCAATTTTTAGGATTGGCCCAACACAACTTATAAAATAAGGCTGGGAAATACATTTATGAACAATTTTTCTGGAGGTCCAATATGTTCCTATTAGTCTGTTTTGTTCCACTTCATTATGGTAAATCTTTTTCATATATATTATTGGAGGAGCTCTACGTAGGCTAAAGCTACGTCATTTTTTTCAATTTAATGAAAATAAGAGAAAATGTTATCTCAGAAACAAAAAGAGATAATGATAAATAATTTCTAATATTTATTTAAATGGTCATTTTTTTTAAAACATTTTAATCTTTAATCTTTCAATTTTTTGTTAAAATAACTTATATTAAATGAAAACTATTAATTAACTACCGGTTAATATATATTAATAATAAGATATATTTATATTAGTGATGTGAAACATGTTATATCATTATTTTAATTATATAACATATATCACATCATTAATTTAAATGACATGATATATATTATATCATTAATTTAGTATATATAAAATTATCACATCAGTAATATACGTTGAACGTTAAATCAATTAACATGCTTAATCCAAAATTGACTATTTCGACAATAAATTAAAATGTTAGAGTTAAAATGTTAAAAATTTTAAAACTAAATAATTATTTAAATAAGTATGGGTACTAGTTTCGTTATTATATAATAAAAGAATAAGGGAGGGAGATGGGGGTGGTTTTACCACTTGAACGCCGTGTTTCTCGGCATGTGTGAGATAAACGAGAAGGCTTCCGAGAATGACTGATGTCAAAGGTGCCACCGCCGATATCCAAAATAGCTTGGGTCGCCGTTTGCTCTGTTTGCACCCAACAGTCCAAACAATATTATATATTATATTGACGCCATCAGACCCATATTTCTAACTTCTTCTATTGAACTGCCACCTGCTTTACTTATTTAGTATTTGTTAAATGATGGGACTTTTCTTTTAAACTTTATTTGTTTTTGGGTTTTGTTTTCAAAGTTGGTGTTATTTTACTTCCCCAGATCCTTCTAATAATAATGATAAGATTTACTTACGACGGATCTGGTGCTGAGGAGGAAGAAGAGGAATCCAATGCCCAGCACAGCACTCTCCCATCTCCACTGTCAAATTTAAACATAGTTGATTTCTTGTGAGTGAAGAAAATATATATATATATATATATATATATATTTCTGGCGTATAAACAGCAAGACAGTACTGCTGTATCTTCTTGACTTTTCTATAAGCTCTGCTGTGTTGCCTGGTTTAGTAATTTGTATGTCTGCGTTCGACATATGGGAGAAGGTTCAGTACATGTTCTCGACTCGACGCCACCTAATGCATTTGCATTGTTTTTAAAGAGTTTGAGGAGGGATCAAACCAATGACGCACACAAAATTCAATGTTAAGGGAATTTATAAAAATTTATAAAATCTTAAAGACAAAATTTTAAAATTTTCACAGAAATGACTGTCATCGCCCGTAATACAAAGAAAATATCTAAAATATGAAAAAAAAAAAAATTGTCATAAAAACGACTACTCTAGCCCATCCTCCTTAAGTCGGTATCGGGTGCCATGCTCGTGACTTGTTGCCTAGACCTCCTCAGTTTGGAAAATAACTTATTAACTTGTCATTCATTTTCGATGACACACATTAACTCACTTCAGAAGCAAAAAATGAAAAATTGGTTGGAGATACAAGGAATCAAACCCTGTACCTGTCACATACAAAACGAGCACTCTACCATTTGAGCTACAACCCCTATTGAAATCTGACCTTTAATAAATTGTTTTGTTGCATTATATTTTCAGTGTCTGATCGAAAATCTAAATTTGATTTTGTTAACAACTACACATTTCCTTCATATCGAAGGCAATAGTAAGTATTATTAGTAATTGAAGGAATGGAAAATGAAAGGAAAAAGAATTTGAATACATCGTATATCAAGGTCTTCGACTTTTATTTTTCTTTTTATTCTATGAACAAGAAGGTAGCATTTCAACACGCTCATCAAACAGTGAGGAGTTGGGATGGGCTTAGAATTTATGTTAGAGAGGGGCACATTTTTAATGTAGATACTAATTTGAAATTTTAAAAGTGACTCTCCATCCGTCTTCCTCGATTTATCCTTCATGAGGAGGTATCTTGCACAAATATAAACCGAAGTTCTGGCCTAGGGTGTTAGAGGTATAAGTCTCTCTACTTCTGGCCTTTTTATATTAGAGTGAAGCAAATTCTGTGTATAAAATTAGCTCTTCAATTGGGATCCGTTTTGCTGATGATAAAAGAAAAACTCTAGTTAATCGCTTCCTGAAACTTTGTGTGGATGTTGGATGAGCCATGGATGCCCGGCTTAGTTCAAGGTTTTGAATATGGTTTTTCCCCCTTTCTTTATGTCACATAAATTCCTCTTGTATAGCATCCGTTTAGCTTGCATGCTTTTGGTACAGGAAACGAAATTCCCAATCTTGGATCTTAGGCTACTTCAAAAGGTCTGGGGCCTTGAGGCTGGATCTGCCTGGAGCTTATTATCGCTTTGGGACCCCTTTTTTTTTAACCTTGAAGTCCAGATTATCCATTCTCAATTACTCTTACTAAGTTTATTCCTACACCGTGTTTTAGATGCGATGCGGCTGTGTGAATGTCTATGCTACTAAGGACCATGTAACATCCGATACGCTGTCTGGACGATTCAATTTGAATATTAATTGTCACATTAATCACTAGAATCTCGATATAAATTCTCATTTAAAGGTTATTTTAGAATATGATTAAACAGCAATTCACTCATTCGTACTTTATAAACATCCAACAAATGAACATACGTTATCATTAACGGATGATTAAACTATGAATATACAAAAAAAAATTCATGAAAACCATTAAACAAGCATATAGATAATGTCATCTTTTCATATTGATCATACCACGAAAGAAACCATAAACAATCGTAATCTAATCATCTAATGGAACTTTCATACATGCATCATGTGAACTTTCAGCAAGGGTTTAAAGCGCTTATTGAATTTAAGAAACTATTATTTATATGGACTAAATTATAAAAAAGTTAATTATAGTATATAGTATCTAACTACCATCAACTTCCATTAATATGACTTTGGTTCAACAGCCAAGTAAATTCTTAAAAAATTAAATATATCAATAACAATGTGATCTAGAATTGTGTCTAAACTGTTATCTTTAAAGATGAAAATTTATGAACCCACATAATAAATATAGATTTCTAGTAAATCTATAAATATAAAGTGAATTGAAAAATATAATTTTTAAAGAAATTACCTTTAACTAAAATGAAATGAAAAGTTAAATACTTGACAACTTGATTGAGATGAATATGTTAAAGAAGATGAATAATCAAACGTTAAAAAACATATAACTATTTTGAATTTTAAAATTAGAGATAATAAAGTAAAATGAATTTTCATTTATTTTAAAAAAGATTAATAAAAAAACGCGAATGATAACTTATTCTAATAAATTATATTTAAGTGGTTTCTAAAATTTAAAATAATATGTACGTTTTTTTAGCTAATCAAATTAATAATTTATTATACACATTTTTTTTGTAGGGACCAAATTTAATATACATAGAGATATGTAAATATATACATTTTATTTTTGGGTAAACTTTACGTTTAACACCTACATTATTACTTTTATTATATTTTAAAACCTAAAATTTATTTTTACAAAACCATGTCGAACGATTAGTTTAGGTTTCAATTTGTTACCCTACCGTTAAAAAATTAATAGAAATTGTTGATGTGGCATTTTTTTTAAAAAAATTCAATGATGATGTGGTATTACCTTATATGGTGATTTTAACATCATCGTTAATCATTTAGCGAGGGGTACCAAATTGAAACATAAACTAAATATTATGTATGATTTTGAAAAAAAAATAAAGATTAGATATCAAAATGAAACAAAATGAGAGTCTAGGTACTAAATGTATAATTTACTCTTTCGTTATTTTAATATTTTTTTGGGGGTGAGGCATGGCCCCATTAGTTTCTTCTTGTTCCGTCGTTGGTTTAAGTTTGAGTTTAAGGTTTCATTCGAATTAAGTTTAAGATTTTTTTTTCCATTTCGAGCTTTTATGAGCTTCAGTTCATAATTTCGAATTCGAGTGGAGCTTGAAAATTTTAGGCTCGCTAATTTTTGAGCCGAGTCGAGCTCTATTTTAAAATTTTTGAATCTAGTCGAACTTAACAATACTCGAACTCAAGTCGACTCGTTTCCGGCCTAGTTTTGCTTTAGCTATTCATTGAGGTTCCGGAACATTCCACTTGCCATCTTTTGCTCCCCAAATTCGTTTTTTTTGTCTATTTTTAATTAATAAATTAATTTTGATCATTTAATTTCATAAAAAAAATAGAAACTTGCCTTCTTTTGCTCCCCAAATTCGTTTTTTTGTCTATTTTTAATTAATAAATTAATTTTAACCATTTAATTACATAAAAAATAGAAACATCTAGACTTTTTATATTCGTATACAATGTATTCTTATCTTATCTTTTATTTCTTTTCAGACCAATCGATGTTTAGTTTATTAATATACTAATTTGAATTAAGTATGATACAATTTATTAAAATATAATTCAATTTATTATATTTATAATATCAAATTTTAAATTTTATTAAAAAAATTAATATTTAACCCACCAAATCAACTACCTTCCCAAAAAGGACTCCGACCACTCCCAGCACACAAACTACCTTCCCAAAAAGGACTCCGACCAGAACATAAAGCGTTTTGCCTCTTTTGTTACACTTTAAGTTTATAATCCTCCTGTTAGTTTTCGGGTTCAGCTTCATATTTTTCTCCTTGAAGCGTCATCCCCTGTTTGGAAATTCCCATTCTTTTGTTCCCAGTTTTGATCGTCCTTTTGGCAACTCTGCTGTTTGATCCAAACGAATCTTCAGCAATAAACTTAGGAATCGTCAAAGCAAGAAACTAAGTTAAGAATTACATCAATCGTTTTCTTTGAAGGAAGAAAAGCAGAGTTTTTGAACCATGAATCCATATTTTCCGGTAAAGGAAGAGTACCCGAGTTCAAGTTATTCAAGATCCAAAGATGATGCGACAGTGATGGTGGGGCCGCCGCAGCCGATAGAGGCTCTCCACGATGCAGGGCCGCCGGCATTCCTTACCAAGACATTCGACATGGTGGATGATCCCGGTACCAACCACATGGTTTCCTGGGGCAGAGGAGGTAGCAGCTTTATTGTATGGGATCCTCGACCTTTCTCCACTAATTTGCTCCCTAGATATTTCAAGCACAATAATTTCTCTAGTTTTATTAGGCAGCTCAATAATTATGTAAGTACTCTTAGCCCTTAATTTCTATTTTTAAATTTCGAAATTTCTGTCTCAAAATGTCTTTCTGGGGATTTGTTCTTCCAAAATTCATTGTTTCAACTTTTGTGTTCTTCATTTTATGCTAGTTTACTTCATAGCTGCTAGGTGGAAGTCTTTCAATCCACACCTTGGAACAAAATTGATTGTTCACTTGTTTTATATTGATTCTTCACAAATTGTTATCTTCGTTTTTATTGGATGCTAGTAATTAGAAATACCCTCATAATATGTTTGTTTAATTAATTCTTGAGTTTGTTCTTCGATGATCTGTATTCCCACATGCCCATTTTGCTAAAATGTTCTTTGAAGGCTTTCTGGTAAGTTTCATTGGGTCATTTTGTTGCTACTTTTTCACCCCCCCCCCCGGGTGGTTCTTTCTGGAAGTGGGACCTTGTTCTGCGATTCTTGGATGGAAAGACTTGTAAATGGAATATTGTTTACTCCGTCTCCAAGCTCCATCATCAATGAAATTGAAAAAAAGAAAACAAGTTTTCAGCCTCTTCTTTCTCAAGTTTTGGGATTTTCATCTTCCTGCAGGGTTTTAGAAAGATTGATCCAGACAAATGGGAGTTTGAGAATGAAGGGTTTCTCAGGGGCCAAAAGGATCTTCTAAAGAGCATTCGGAGAAGAAAGACCCCATCTCAGACCCCACCACCTTCACAAGAATCTCTCGGTCCTTGTCTTGAAGTTGGCAGGTTTGGACTAGATGGAGAAGTCAACCGTTTGAGGCGTGACAAGCAGGTTCTAATGATGGAAGTGGTGAAGTTAAGACAGCAGCAACTCACCACTCGAGCCTATCTTCAGGCCACGGAAGAACGGCTGCAAATCACAGAAAAGAAACAGCAGCAAATGATGTCTTTCTTGGCTAGAGCTATGCAGAACCCGGGTTTTCTCCAGCAGCTAATGCAACAAAAGGAGAAAAGAAAGGAGCTTGAAGAAGCCATATCTAGGAAAAGGAGGCGGCCGGTTGATCATCCACACGGTGGTGTTGATGTAGGTGAATCTAGCCGAGGTAGCACCGGAATGGATCATGTTAAAACTGAACCTTTAGAATTTGGTGATTATGGGTATCACGTAACAGAATTGGAAACGCTTGCACTGGAAGTGCAAGGCTATGGTAGAGCAAGAAGGGAGCAAGAGGAAACTCGAAATGTGTTCGAACATCGAGTGAGTCATGACAACGAACTCGATGAAGGATTTTGGGAAGAATTATTGAATGAGAGATTTGAAGGAGAGTTGGATATACCAGGACCCGAAGTAACTAAAGATGAAGATGTGAATGTGTTGGCTGATCGTTTGGGTTATTTGGGTTCAAGTCCAAAGTACAGAAAATGAACATCTAGATTCCATAACATAGCTAGCTACATCCACCACGTTTTCATTAGCTTCATCTCTAATATTTCTGCAAATGAGTCTTCAAACAAATAGATTAGACCATAATATTCACATTTCTTCAATGGTTTCTTGTTTTTGACAGGCTAGGGGGAATTGCTTAGAACGGTATCAGTGGAAAATATCTATTGTCAATGGTGTTTCAAACCCTGTTTTATCGTTTTTAATATTTCTTTCATCTTATCTGTCTCCATCTATGGTTGGATTTGCAGCTGTAGATCAGAATCTGTCGTGGTCATTGCTTGAATGAGTGTAGACTGTTCTTCATGAAGCAGTTGAAAAACGACAAAATGTAGCAGAAAGTTGCAAGATAAAACAGCCAATGATCACTTGGTAGTATCTATTAAACTTTTTCTTTGTCGGTTTAATATTTCCTGTATTTAAGAGTGGTGGTCGGTGATAATGGACGATCATGGTGTCTTGCGTCTTGGCATTTGTACCAACGAAGATATTTTGATGGCCATAGCAATTGGATTCTCTCATTTGTTGCTTTCAAATGCCTTCAGCAATTTGCAGAGTTCTCAACCGGTAATGCATGCCCGTATAATAAATGGTTACGTTGCTTGTCCGTGATTCCACCTGACCTGAGGATTTTTTTTAAGAGAAAATAACTTCATTGACCAAAAATGCCTTATAATATACGATTTTAATCAATTTTTTTTGGATTTGCCAAAATGACCAACTAAATCGCAATGCGATCGATAATTCGCAACGTGATCTCCGGTATCGCAAATCAGTTTTCAGATTCGCAACGCGAACTTCGACTATCGCAATGCGAACTTGGACTATCGCAATGCGAACTTGGACTATCGCAATGCGAATATGTAAATCGCAATGCGATAGTCGGCTATCGCAATGCGAATATGTAAATCGCAATGCGATAGTCGGCTATCGCAATGCGAATATGTAAATCGCAATGCGATAGTCGACTATTACAATGCGAACTTGGACTATCGTAATGCGAACTTCGACTATCGCATTGCGATTTACATATTCGCATTGCGATAATCCAAAATCGCAACGACTGGTGGTATTGCATTTGTTTCTTAAGAATTTTCTCTAAAAAGATAGTATTCGCGCGGACGTGTCGAAGACACGTATTACCACGACCACGACTACGACCACGACCACGACCCGACCCAAGACGAGACGAGACGGACGGCGGCGCGCGAGAGTCCCCCTTGTTCTCTATCACTCAACAAGGAAGTGGGAAAGCCAAGCCTTAAATACCATTCCCAATAGTGTTTCCAATATTATGTAGAATTGAGCATTACCAACACTTGTTTCCAATACAATGTGATTATTCAGGAAACAATTAACAAGCCTTTAATTATGACATATTTAATCGTATAATACTAATGCAATTGGTTGCTGATTCAGTTGTTTTAAGGTGCATGATTGTTAATTGTTTCCTGAATAATCACATTGTATTGGAAACAAGTGTTGGTAATGTTGAATCCCACATAGTATTGGAAACATTATTGAGAATGGTATTTAAGGCTTGGCTTTCCCACTTCCTTGTTGAGTGATAGAGAACAAGGGGGACTCTCGCGCGCCGCCGCCGCCGCCGTCTCGTCTCGGGTCGGGTCGTGGTCGTCTTCAATACGTCCGCGAGAATACTATCTTTTTAGAGAAAATTCTTAAGAAACAAATGCAATACCACCAGTCGTTGCGATAGTCGACTATCGCAATGCGAATATGTAAATCGCAATGCGATAGTCGAAGTTCGCATTGCGATTTACATATTCGCATTGCGATAGTCGAAGTTCGCGTTGCGAATCTGGAAATTGATTTACGATATTGGAGATCGCGTTGCGAATTATCGATCGTATTACGATTTAGTTGGTAATTTTGATAAATCTAAAAAAAATTAGTTAAAATCATATATTATAAGGTATTTTTGGTGAATTAAATTATTTTTTCTTTTTTTAAATGGTGTGGCTGTTGTCTGTTTCTTCTAAAGTTGAGATCTGGAGAGCCAACAACATGATCATATAAACTCAGAAGTGACATTCGTATTTGTCCTCGTTTCTGTGGCTGAAAATTGGGCAGAGTCGGATATGTCGGTTACCAATCAGCGTTACGGTCTTCATTAATGCTTTTAGCCATTGGTTTGGAAATTTTATTATAAATATGCATCGTCCCTGTTGAAGGACAATTGTTGATGGTGAGCCCCACTTAAGTTGCAATGCCTGCCACCTCTCTTGTTGCTTGTTACCAATGCTGCCCCAGAATCACAAGCCCCATGCAATTATGCAATGAAACAACCCTTCTCTCCGCCTAATATTTTTATGTTAATAATTTATTTTATTTAAGGTATTTATTCTAAAATTTTATTAGTGTTTATTTTAATGAAAAATTTATATTATTAATACATGTATGAGTTTTTGGATCCACCACTGTTTGGCCGTGCAGGACTCAACGCTTTCCCTTTGCGTTATTAGCACAATGTTCTACAACTAATAAACCTTTGATTTTACAAGTTTTAATTTTTTTATCATCTCAAAAAATTAGACTGGATCCTCATATATATATATATATATATATATATATATATATATATATATATATATATATATATATATATATATATATAGGGTAGATATGTGTTAATCTTAAAATTTAAATTTTCGTTGATTAGTTATTCATTTTAGGATAAAATACACAAATGATTATTTGATTATAATATATTGTTTTGTTAAGTCCATTGAATATTAAAAGTTATAAAATGATCATTTGACAATATAATGTTGTTTTATTAAGTCTCTCGACTATTAAAAGTTATAAATTGGTCATTCGACTATTCATTATCTTTAAAACTTATCCTTTTTCATTAAAAATTTGACGACTGTCTAAGCTGAACATTAACATAATGACTAGGATGTGATAGTCGTTTGAGATTCTGGGATTATATTATATCACAATTAGCATATTAACGTTTAACTTAGAATACCGTCAATTTTTTAACGGAAAAATGACGAGTTTAGAATATATAAATAGTTGGGTGACCATTTTGTAACTTTTAATAGTCGAGAGACTCAATAAAACAATATTTTATAATCATATTATCATTTTATAACTTTTAATATTCGAAGTACTTAATAAAACAGTATTATAGTCGGAGACCATTTATATACCCTTCATTTTATTGATAATATTTACCTTAAAGTTTTATTTGTGTCAACTCCAATTTTAAATTTTATATATTTTTTTTGTTACAAAGGAAGAGAGATTGCCTTAGCAGTGAGTGGATCCTGCTTTCCCTGCCTAGTCTCCCTGGAGAAGGCTTGCAGCTCCTCGAGTTCCAATATTGTTTCCGAACAACCAAGCCGAGCGAGGGCATCCGCTACGCAATTTCGCTCACGGTTGACGTACGATATCTTAACTATCTAGTGGCGATTGATAAGATTCTGGATACGGCGAACGATAGTGGGTTCATGGGATTGGCCTGGATCATTGAGGATCCTGACCGCTTCTTGGTTATCCATCTCCATTTCTATACGGTTGAAGCCTCGTCTCCAGGCTACGTTGAGATCATCCAACACAGCCCACAGCTCAGCGTGTAGAATGGAGCAGCGACCGAAGGACCTGCAAAAACCAGTGATCCACTTCCCTTCGCTGTTTCGAAAGATGCCTCCTCCCGAGGCTTCTGTCGTTAAGGGGTTAACCGCTCCATCAGTATTGAGTTCATTGAAATCAGTGAGGGGAGGTCTCCAGTGTTGGATAGTGGCCGAGCGGTGAATATGATTCGGGCCATACTTGAGCGAGGTACAGATCGTCTTTGCCCAAGACCAGGACCAAATCTGACCGTTGAACACGAAGTTGTTCCGCTGTTTCCACAAACCGGGCAGCTGGGGTCAGTTCCATATGCCGTCTGGCGCGTTCAAGATTATTCATTAACTGGTTCCGAAAGACCAACCAAAGGAATTGCCTGATAGCTCCAAGCAGTACCCCAGAGCTTTTCTTCGGGGTCCCATCTGCTGTTTTGCATTTTATAGTTTGAATTATTTATGAATCCGCTATTAAATCATAGAATAGTTCGAATTATTTGCACCTTCGATTTATAAATAAACATTCAATCCATTCGTCTGTTTATATATTGGGTAAACTATGCATTTAGTAATTAAAATATAAGTTTAGTCCATTTTAATACTTAAATTTTTAATTTTTAAAAATATAATTAACATTTAATTTTTATTTCATTTTAATGTCCGTTAAAAACTTAACATTAAGTTTTAAAAAAATTAAAAGTTTAGGTATTAAAATGGGTTAAAACTGATAGTTTAGGTACTAAATGTGTCAAATTTTTAACGACGGTGTATTAAAATAAAATAAAAACTAAACATTATGTATGATTTTAAATAAAAATAAAAATTTTGGATTCTAAAACAAACCAAAATCGATAATTTAAATTATAAACGTGTAATTTACCCTTATATATTTTTGAAATGTTATACTTATAAAATATTTAATTTATTTTAAAATATATTGTCGATATTTGTGTTGGTTTTAAGTTTGGCTTAAATACATATTTTCCTATTAAATCACGTTAACTTTTATCGAGTTGTCTTTTAAAATATTTTTCGAGGCGTTTTATCTCCTTAACTTTATATCTTTATTTTGTTTGCCCCAAATCTTTAATTTTGTTAAAAAATTCCACGAACCAATTAGAACACGTCATATCACCTCTTAATTTTAATTTTTTTTATCTAAATAAATAAAAATCAATTAATAAAATAAATACACTACCCAGATTACCCTTCTTCCCCACCCAACCCCCACAAACCTCTACCGGCCCGGTATTGACCGCCCGACATGGGTTTCAATCTGTTCGCCGCAAAGATCAATATTACCATAAAACGAAGAGATGTTGAACCGAACCAGAGCTGAGGTCACAGGGATTTGACGTTGGTTGTTTGGAACGTTGAAGAGTCTAAGACCGGTTTGGTTCAAAGCCGGAACTGTACCTTTGAACTCATTGTCTTGCAAGTAAAGAGTGTACAACCGTTTGAGGTTGAGTAAAGAAGCCGGAATCCGACCGGTGATTCGATTATCGGACAAAACAATGGTTTTCAACCGATGTAACCTTGTAATGGATTCTGGGAATTCGCCGGTGAAGTTTTTGCCGTTGAGAAAAAGTGATTTGAGATTGACCAAGCCGGAAAGGTCAGGTATTCGTCCGGAAATGGAGTTGCTTTTGAAACTGAGAACTCGGAGTTGATCTAACCGGTTCAAGTTCTGTTCATCTAAAGAACCAGTCAAGTGTTCCCAAACGAGTTTGGTAACTCGTCCGTTTAAGCATTCCTTGATTCCTTTCCATGCACATACATTGGTCCATTTCCATGGCAATGAATTGGAAGGATCAATGGTCGATTTCAGCGCTAAAAGTGCTTCCGCATCCCCTGATCTGACCACCGGAACGAGAGAAACAAAAGTGGTGAATCCCAAGTAGGAAATAAACCAGTACCTTGACACAAAAGGTTCCATTTTTCGACCCCCTAATCTTCAACTCATCGTATTTACA